ATCATCTTTACATACTCCGTAGCCAATGAAATGTTCCATACAGCGTCTCTAGATAAGTTCAAGACGGTCTTGAACATAAGATCCGACTATGAATACCGTTCTTAGTCCAATTAGAGAAACAAGGAACCTGCGCCGTGACGAAAGTGAAGTTACAAAAGCTGATATTAGCAAACGAGTGCTCATACAATACACGAAAATATTACATAAATAAGGAAAACGTGCAAATTTTCTTCATTTTAGCAGAGAAAAGTCCCCTAATATAAGACAGCGGAGTTTCCGCTAAATCAACAGGCATCATCTGTTGCGTCCAGCGTGAATTTATTGTCCATGGAGTGAAATCTGTTTGACGGAAAATTGATTATTAGATCGCGTAACCGCGATAAAAGACTTATAGAATTTGGACGCTGGAAACCTACTGTCTTATATTAGAATCCTCACGATCAAGGACTTTCCTCCACATTATACATTCACTTCGTCCCGGCAGGACGAAAGGATTCTGCAACTTGAAGAACCGCGACAGCGCGTAAACTCCCGACGCATTCGTGCTAAATTCACGAAAGCAAATCGTTTTCCGGAGAGACCATTACAATTTACGCGCTCACAACGTGCCTCTATCCAGTCGGTACGATAGGATCACCTAACCTCGAAGGACGCCGCGACGAAAGTCGCGATAACGCGCGAGTGCAACAGCGAGATTCGGCCGAAAGGACGACGAGGTGGAAACATTTTAATTCACGTCTATCGAGCGCTCTCGTATCGTGAAACACGTCCGATTTTTATCCCAAATTCATACCTGAACTTACAAACACACCTCGTCTTTTGAAGGTTTCCCACGTAAATACACGTACCCTGGTGTACACGAATGTATCCAGACGCGACCCGTTGCCAATTGTGTCAAAGGTGCGTTCAGCAGTGCAGCCTAAAGTTTCCCAGCCGTCGCGCAACTCTTCCACGGGCGGCGCTGACAAGCGGCACCGCATCCAACCCTGTGTCTCGTATCGCGGTACAAGCGTTGGTTCATGCTCGAGCAAAGGTCACGAACTCTAACCAACTGCGTCCATCTCGTTGGCGTTTAAGGTTAGACGACGGTGTACGCGTTAAGTGCGGTACGATTTAATATGACGCGATAGTGTCGCGACGTGTAATCTGAGGTTTTCGCGTGATCGCCAAGTGAAGTCCAGAACGAGACATGGGTGTACCAGCATTTTTCCGTTGGCTCAGCCGCAAGTATCCCTCCGTAATCGTCGAGTGCATCGAGCAGAAGGTGGGCAAAACCTCCCGGGAGGGTTCTCCAACTTTACGCGTCTCCGTAGCTCAAGCGCTTGGCCCTCGGCCTTTGGTTCCGATCGCTGCGTTCGTAGGTCGCGCGAACCTTTCAATTGCTACGTGCGTCTGTACGTTCGCGTGAAAATTTCCCGATTGACTTCTATGCCTGTAACCTTGATGAAAGTTTTCAGAACGATGCTCCATTCACTTCCGTTTACGAAGCGTCTGCAAAGTTAAAACTTTTATGTATCCGAACAATTTCGAACGCACTTTATTCTATACCCGATGTTTTCAATTAGAGTAAGAATAAAGATTTTCTCCTCTTGCTGAAGATGTTATGTAACTTTCGTAACTGCAAAGACTTTGTCCGCTTCCGTAAAGAAGGTTTTTAGGATTCAGAAAGATTTACGAGACACGCACGTTTTCTTCTTAACGTTACATTATTTACGATGGTCCGTGAGACTGTATAATTTTCTATTCCCAGCCGGCAACCCCAGACGGAATATGCATTCCCGTGAATTCAGCAGAGCCGAATCCAAACGGGGTGGAATTTGATAATTTGTACCTGGACATGAACGGTATAATACACCCCTGTACGCATCCCGAGGACAAGTGAGTATCGAACGAGACGCGAATAATTTGTACGCAAACAATCGGCATCGGTTTGCAAGGCATTGCTTATGTGATCTTGTGCTCGTACGAAATGTAGACCCGCACCCAAGGACGAAGATGAAATGATGGAGGCCATTTTCGAGTGTATCGACCGATTGTTTCGTATCGTCAGACCGAGGAAGTTACTTTACATGGCGATCGACGGAGTCGTAAGTATTTCTCGCTTGTGCAGCGAGCCGATGGAATTGTAACGTGTACGCATTGTTACGCAGGCGCCCAGAGCTAAGATGAATCAACAAAGATCCCGGCGATTTCGCGCGTCCAAGGAAACGACTGAGAAGATTAATGAGATAGACAGGATACGTTCGGAATTGGTCCTCAAGGGAGCAGCCTTGCCACCGGAGAAACCGAAGGAAGCGCATTTCGACAGTAATTGCATCACGCCGGTTTGTAGCACTGAAATATAACGAAATAAATAAGTTGAATGTACGATATGTCCAAAAATATTTCAGTTGTTAAGTTTAATTGTCAATTTTTGTACCTCTTGATCAATGAAACGGAACTGTTTGTTATTGTACTGTTTTTGTTCAGAAAGATATTAACTCACTTGAGTAAACTGTAAGGTTGCATAATGAGTATATCAAAAACTTGGTATTCCAGGGCACACCGTTTATGGCGAGATTATCCGCATGCTTGCATTATTACATTCATGAGCGTTTGAACAATGACCCGGGTTGGAGGAATATTAAAGTAATATTAAGCGATGCTAATGTTCCCGGTGAGGGAGAACATAAAATAATGGATTTTATACGGCGACAAAGAGGTGGGTTGGTGTACAAGATTATTTCGTACACTGAAAAAAAATCTGGTAAATTCAACCAGTCGTCTGTTAGAAAATGGACGAATTTCTTTGGGATTTACCAGATGTGTAGTGAAGTCTGGCAAACTTCTGGTTATGAAATATCTTTCATGGTAAATCCTAAAGAAATTCTGATTCGTCCATTTTCTAACAGATGACTGGCTGAATCTATCGGATATTTTTCTCAGTGTACGTATAGATTATGAGCTGCGTGTAGAAATTAAGGATTTGCTACTTTTGTTACGTGTTGCAGCACAACCGGATCACGATCCTAATACGCAACATGTTTTATGCGGAGCAGACGCCGATTTAATTATGTTGGGTCTCGCTACGCATGAACCTAATTTCACTATTATACGCGAGGAATTTAAACCAAATAAGCCGAAGCCCTGCGATATATGTGGTCAATTGGGGCACGAGATGCGCGAGTGTACAGGCGCGGCAGCGAACCAACAGCCGGAGGAAAACGTATTCGGATCTGAATGCCAGTTCATATTTGTGCGATTAAATGTTCTCAGAGAATATTTAGAAAGAGAGCTGTACATGCCAAATCTACCGTTCAAATATGATTTCGAGCGTGCCGTCGATGATTGGGTGTTTATGTGCTTCTTCGTAGGAAACGATTTTTTACCTCACCTCCCTTCTCTGGAAATTAGAGAAGGCGCGATTGACAGACTTGTTGCTCTGTATAAGAAAGCAGTATATAAAACTGGAGTACGTAATATTTCTTACAAAGCAAGTTGATACAGGAAATTAATAATTACAAAATTGTACCTTTATTAACTTCGACAAATGTGTACCCTTTTATATTATAATGTATTTTACATTATTGTTAAATATTATGTTTAAACGGAGTTAAAATATATTTTATAGACCTTTTTATTTGTGTTACATGCCGCAATTAATTCGCGCCAAGTTTTCTGCGTTAATTATTTTTAACCCGTTAAAAAATATGTACTTGTAATTAAAATTTAAATTCTATAAATTTATGAAAATATATCTATTAAATTTTAATATCGAATAAATTCAAGCAAATGTTTTTTTACAGAAAGTAAATTGTTAACTGTTTTTTAATTATTTGCAGGGTTTCTTAACTGATAGCGGTGACGTTAATTTAGATCGCGTACAGTTGATTATGTCAGATCTTGGTGATGTAGAAGACGAGATCTTTAAAAAGAGGCAACAAAATGAATTGGCATTTAAGCAACGTGAAAAAATAAAAAAGAAAAGAAGCGAAATTATCAGTAATTTTAAACCAACGTGGATTCCTGCGGGTCAATTTGCACCCACTGTAAGAGATTTCTATTTCATTATATATTCTATATTTATCAGAGAAACTAAACTAAACTGATTTAATTTAAATTTTTCCAAGTTTTCCTAGTTCCTGAAAATTGTCAGCTTCATTCAAACGTTGCTAAGAAAAGATTTGTTGTTAGATCTTGCAACCCTGTGATTGATATGTAACGTGTGAATTTCAAAATATTATAATCTTTACAGGCTCTTGGAAAACAAAAGGTAAAATCCATAGAGAACGCACGTTATGAAGCTTTTAAAATGCGTGTAATGGGTAGGAATTATAATACGAGCGCTGCTGAACAGTCGGGCCGTAATAACGATCTAGAGAGCATGCTAAGACCTGAGGTATTCAATTTTACTTCCTTTAACATAATTAATATTATACGGTCTAAAATTTTTTAAGACGTTTCTGAATACGTATGCGCGATGTAATATTTATCATAACCGAGCCGACATTTTTAATTCTGTTACTAGGGCACGGGCAGTAGAGGACAAAAACGTAAAGCTGATGAGGTTGCGCCGACCGATGACTCGGATGACGATCAGGCGCACGATGAGGTGCGACTTTGGGAGGATGGTTTTAAAGATCGATATTACGAATCTAAATTCGACGTATCTCCCGACAATCTCGCATTTAGGTAATAACGAATGGAAATAGAACAATGTTTACACGTAAACGGTTTCTTTTTCTGACAAATAAAATTATTTTGCGGCGGATCGCATCACCTCTTATTGGTACCACTTGTTTGCTTGTAGAAACAACGTCGCTTTACAATACGTGCGAGGCTTATGCTGGGTCTTGCGATACTATTATCAGGGCTGTGCATCGTGGCGGTGGTATTTTCCGTACCATTATGCGCCATTTGCCAGCGATTTCATTAATATCGGCGGTCTTTCTACAGAGTTTGAGAAGGATACTATACCAGTAAGTGTTGTATATCCTTTAAGTGTAAGTATATCTTGTGAATATACGTGTGCACCGTTACTTAATGATATTTTGTTACACAGTTTCGCCCATTAGAGCAATTGATGGGTGTATTTCCTGCTGCCAGCAGGAAACACGTGCCTGAGCCGTGGGCGAAATTAATGATGGATCCGGTACGTATACTTTTATTATGATTAACAAAAAGGGAGGAGTGGCGTTAATCTGTTTTAAATAATTAAATTAAAATGCTTCGGCAACTATTACTGGGAGTGCTAAAGAATAATTAGTGTACTGTAGAATTGGATAACCACTAGTGCTTTTAGCAGATTACTTTTCTTCGTCTTTCTTATCTATTCCCTTATTTTTTTTGTTTACAGAAATCTCAGATCATTGATTTTTATCCAGAAAATTTTAAAATCGACTTGAATGGAAAGAAATTCGCTTGGCAAGGTGTAGCCTTGCTTCCATTTGTTGACGAGAAAAGATTGTTTAAGGCTTTGGCACCATATTACGACAGTTTAACGGAGGCAGAAAGTGAGTAATACAAACGTTCCTTACACTAAGATCGACTTTTTCCACGCAAATTTGTGTGACTGCCAATAGTTGGATTATTAGTTTGCAATATAGTATTAATTTTATTATTACTGTTTAGATATTTTCTAAATGTAAGTCCAAATCTATGACGCGATAATATTATATATATTCAGTCTATGAGCTATGCGAATCTAATTGTAAAATATTATTTAAACTTACAATTTTGCAATTATTATCTGTTTCATTGTTCACTCAAATAATAACCAGAGAAAGCTATTCACTTTTACAGCAATATAATATTGCGCTAAATGCTTCTCTATGAAATAGTTCAGTCTAGACAGTAATGCTTTATATGAATATCTAATATTGTATTACAAAAGTCACTTAGGCATTCATAGTCAGGTCTTGTGTTCAAGACCGTCTTAAGTTTATCTTAAGATGCTGCGTGGAATATTTCGTTGGCTACAAAGTATCCAAAGATGATCTTGAGACGATCTTAAACAGAAGATCTGTCCACGAATACCGGCCTCAGATACGTGAAAATATATTTCAAACATTTCTATCCTTCGGATTACCAGTAGTCTTTGGATCACGAGCGTTTTTACGTAAAATAGAGCATTTTCAATAATTAATATCTTTTTGATAATTAATAATGTTGCCGCTGACACGGCAACGCGAAGTAAGTCCAACTCAAAGTTTCGCGCCCCCTTGAAGTAGGCCGCGAATCTCGATTTCAAGAGCTAACTTCGCGATTGGCTCGTTCAGTTATCCAATGGGCGTGCAGTCTTTATAGAAAAACTGTACGCTTCCCCATAAAACCTGTACGCTCATTGGATAATCGCGCGTCACTCGTCGCGTCCGGTCTGAATGAGCCAATAGGGAACGACATTCGGATCACGTGACCGCGTCGCAATACTCTCCCCCCCGCTAACTTCAGGGGATTTCGAAAGACGCGCGCTCCCGCCTAAATTCCTGCCTCGCGGGAACGCAAGCTGCTGGCTTGGCATCAATTCGGACACTTTCAAGTTGCGGTTTCTGCACACACGGGACGCGGTAAGGCTTGCAACGCGGCGAAAGTTCGCGCGACCACCAATCCAATCTTCCGCGGCGCCGAATAAGCTCGGCACTCCTTAACTTCAATGGCCGCCGCGCCAACTTCTGCAACGCGCTTCGCCGCGCATTCCCGCGCCCTGCGTGCAGAACCGTTACAGTCGAGCCCGATACAATCGTAATTATAACACATAGACTTGTGCGTACACGCGTATCGTAGGGTGCGTTACGTTTCGCGCGTGATGCATCGTTTATCCTTGCGCAACGTTCGGCGAGTAACGCGGCTAAATGACGCGTCACGCGCGAAACGGAACGCACCCCGAATCCCGGCCTACATTGCGTCCGCCATTTTCAGAAAAGAGAAACGTCCGCGGCGACGACAGGCTGTACGTCGGGATGGAAAACAAGGGCTACGACTTCGTGAAAGGCCTCTACGCGAATCGCATCGGGTTCGACAAAGAAGTCGAGATAAGCGTGGACGGGATGCGAGGCACCGTGTGCCTGTCCGAGGACTGCGTCAGCGACGGAGGTACGCTACCTTCGCCCGTGAGAGGCCTGCCGGTTAGGAACAACAAGGTCTACTGGTTCGTATACACGTTAAACTGGAGACCCTGCAATCGGAGACCGACTGGCCACAAAAGAGTTCGTCAAATTTCTGCGAGCGAGAGAGAAACGTAGGCCATCTCACTCTTCTACGATTCCTCTCTCTCACTCACTCACGCAGGAATTTGACGAACTCTCCTATGGCCAGTCTCTGATTACAGGGCCTCTACGTTAAGCTAATCTCCTAAAAACAATTCGATACGGTCATTACCGCTAGTGGAAGATGGACAAGGGTTTAGATGTATCTCCTTGGCTTGCAGCATCAAGTTCAAGGATCCAAAGTACGGTAGCAATCACATATTCCTCGCTCGCAAGCTAAAGGGGGCCCAAGAACCGTCGCGCGTCCTGAAGCCGCAGGACTTCGACGCTATGAATCATAAGAACGGGGGCCAGTGGAAGCCGCAAATCGGTTTCACCCGATCTACGCAGTCAGCTACGTTGGGGCAGGCAGGGCACAGGATGCTGGAGTGAGTGTTGTTAGTCGCCGCGAGATCAGTCCGCGTGTACTTTTACCGACAAATGTGCTTCTCGTGTCTCTTCGCTCTTTTTCTTTTATTCAAATGACGCGGAAGGTGCGTAGAGGATACTCGCAATAAAAACGCTACTGTGACGATCTGCAATTAATACCGTAAATTTGAAGCGTCTGAATTTAAGTCCAAAACAAGTTGCGACTCTTTTTCTAATTTTTCATGACGTTCTTTGTGGAATGGTATTTAATATGCAATGTATTTTGTTTTGAATTGGAGAAATTATTTTGATTTTTTTTCTTCATAATAAAATATTTTATCGTATTGCGCGAGTGCGGATAAGGCACTTTAACAAGTTCTTTTACAGCCACCATGTGAGCCACAACAACAGACCTGCTCAGAGCTCGTATGCGAATGTTCCCCCGCCAGGGAATTTATACAGCCAGTTTCATGGTGAGTCTTTTCATTTTCGTAGGCATGCATCTTAGGAATTGGTGATACAACTATCAGACGTTGAAAGCGCAAGAAGACAAAAGTACTTTAAGTAGCTTCTCTCGTTGCACCGTTCAGCTTTTATTAAAATTGAGGCACAGAATTACGACAAATTTATATTAATATTTGAAAGTTTTTTTAACCGACAAAATTAATTTGGCAATACTTGACATTGCAGGCAGCTACGAACGTTAATTCTCGTCGCGCCTGTTTCCGTAGTAATATTATTTTGCGCGCCAATTCCGATTGAATGTCTGATCTAGGACTTTCGACGTTGGCTAGGTGATGCACGGTACGTGTTTACGCTGAGATCGGAACGCCGTGCGAGGGGAGGGATTGAATTGGAGGGTCGGGAAGGGCTCGCGTTGCGACCCTAACGAGAGAGCGCTTCGCAATCAGTCAGTCAGTCAATCGTTTTCTAACTGGGACCAGTTTCTCCTACTACTTGTTTTACCCCTTGTGCCTTTGACAATACCGAGATTAGAAGAGTCGAATTAAAGCGCGTGCACGCGACTTCTTCGGGTTAGGCGACGTCGGGTGGGATCGAGCCCAAGTTTTCGTTGTTCCTCTCAGCCATATCTCGCCCTCTGTTTAATTACAATTGACGGGAAATTATCGCTCGCAAAATAATTTACATCGAACTGCGGCCGAGTGCCGATCCTGTTATTTCTTCATTGCGAAAAAAAAAGACGGTTGCTTTCCAGTCCACCCTCGCCTTTGGCGTAAACAAATTTTGTTGTTCCTCAAAATACTCCAAAGACACAGATCAACGTACCATGATACAGACCGCAAAGTGTCGCAGCGACTCCCCTTATACAAAATATTCTCAGTTACAGTGCGCGCGACAGATAACTTGTTTAGCACCAAAATAAAGGAGTCCCCTATTAAGAGATAGCGGAGTTTCTGCTAAACTAAACAGGCATCATCTGTTGGTCCCACCGTGCATTTAGTGCCCTTGGAGTGAAATCTGTATAGTGGAAAATTGATTGTTAGCTCGTGTGATCGATGCGAAAAAAGATTTGTGATTGAATCTGGACGTTGGAAGCCTGCTGTCTCATAATGGAAGACTTTCCTCTATCCGGTCATAGATTGTTATAGAAAACATTTCCCAGCATTCCTGCGCGTATGCCTGGATATTACAATAGTTTCTACCCGACCTCTGAAGGAATGTCGGGAATGATCTGGATTTAAATTACATGCTATTTCATCTCTTCGTAAAATCGGAGGGCAGGGAGAGAAGAGAGCGCGACGAGTTGCCCCACGTAGCGCCGCTCGTGTCACGAAGGTGGGCGGTGGTGAACCGTTGGTAGGTGGACAAACGATGAATCGGCAGCGAGTCGGAGGGTGGTTGACGTTGGCTGGCGCGGAGGGCTCGAAAGCACACGAGCCAGCGGGGATGTGACGAGGGAGGGGAAGAGAGGCGCCAGAAGCCGAGGGACCCTCGGCTCCTGGATTAGCTCCGAGGGTAGTTCGTCACGTAGAGCGTGACTCCGGCCGTTTTGTTGTTTGGCACGTCGAGGCAACGACGGTTCCCCGGTTTCGCCCAATTATAAAACAAACGCGGCGCACTCCGTAATTATCCAATTAGCGGACGTGCCTACCCGCCTACCAGCCCCCCTCCTGTGCATCGCGTTTTCCCCGGCCTCCTCTTCCCGTCTTTGCGTTCCCCGATACGTTCGTACGAAAACCATTGTAATATCCAGCGTTACGCGCTGGAGTGATGGGAAATGTTTCCTATAACAATCTATGACCGAGTATTTTAGTGTGCCAAACAGTTTATCTGTCGGTGCTGGGGATATTTTGAATAGGCATTTAGAATTCAGTAAATTTGAACTTCACAAGATTACTTGACCATATCGGGCATATTTTTATGTTTAAACTCGCAACATGATTTGCGGTCCTTCTCAAGTTGATAATCGTGTCAATAATTCCGTATATAGTAAACCAAAAGAACAGATCTCAATTTCACGAACGGCAAAACATGACTGTAGTAATTATTTTTAGTGAAAAAGCATTTGTTTCATTTCATTTGTTACATCGGATAACTCATGGTTCATCAGTTCGCTTTATATTTAATTTACCTTCCGTTTTCTATGACTACTTTATTCATGATATTACACGTATGGGATACGTTATGATATTATTTCTTATACGTTATACCTTACTCCCGTGTCTCGTTATGTCTCTCGGTTCTGTCGCCGACCGTCTTTACGCGCGAACATAAAAACAAAACGTTATATGGGGTATAAACGTGTGTGATTGATTTACCGAGGGGAGTAAATGCCACGCACAGACAGAAGCGAACCCTCGAGAGAGTAAGTGTCGAGGATACGAAATGGTTTTCTCGCGAAAAACGCGAAGGAGCTCGCGTCCTCTTCCCCGCAGATGCGTTACTATAACAGTTTATTATATTAGCTCGAACCAAAAATTCGAAAATTCCCTTTCCAGCATTTTTATCGGTTCAAGCATTAAAGATTCGAGGGAAATCAATTCGGAATATTAGAGCAGCGTGTCCCGTATATTGAGAGCGTATTTCAGTAATAGAGACTTTGTAGAAGCATGTCCCTCTTTGAACTCACAGAATATTGTAGATACAGAATATAATTGATTTGACAATTAACAATTAGAAACAAATCAAAGAGGAAATAAACGAAATGCAATCGACATTGATACTGCTCGTCCGTTTCGCGTATCACTCGGCCTGTGTCGCTCTTGGCAGCTTTGCAATCCCAACAAGGTTTATTTATATTTATTTATTAATAGTAACAGATTAGTAATCGCTACGCCCTACACGCCACTGCGTCCCTACGCGCAGATTTTCCCTATTGTGCGTTCGCGTAAGCGTACTCGCGTCGTGCATTATTAACCCGGTATGCGCAATCTGACGATGTTGAAGTAGCGAAACGACGTAGGCGAGCGAATAAACAAGCAAACGGTATCTTACCGGGGAGAGACGAAGCTCGGCCGACGGGGGTTGGTCGTACTTTGTCCGCTCGTCCATCTCCGTGTCCAGATGACAGGTGCAGGGAGCCCTCGTTAGACAAATTAAGCAACCTTTCTGGCCTCGCGGTGTTATATCTTCGTCTACTTTCATCTCCCATCCATTTTCTCTCTCCGCACGCACGCACGCACGCACATTCGTACGCATACACGTGCGCGGCTGTTCGTCCGGGACTGGTTTCGAGTGGACTGCAAACACTCGTGTAGCAGCGGCAGCAGCAGCAGCAGCAGAGGCTCGAATTGTGTAGAGACTGGGCATAAGACGAGTCTCCGGATCTGTACGGCTACCGTGACAGAGACGCCGATGATACAGTCCATCTTGAACCAGTAAAGTCCTCGAAAATTATCTCTCAACTCTTTCGATACGTCGCTTCCCTATATTTCGTGATGTATACGCTTCGAATGCGCGAGATTGCACGTTTTCCCAGGATTACTTTACGATCAACTACGATTCGAGCGAAATTATACATTTATTTAATCACGGATATGTAACTTCTTACAAAACGATATTTTGTTCTCCGTCCCTCTTTATTTTAAAAAGCATTGAATTATTAAAGCAATGCTTATTTCTGCGGGAGATCATATTTTGAAGGCATCAACGTTAACTTTATCCGTATAATTAGCAAATATATCGAGAAATCTTTTAGATTTGAATAAAATGCCTAAGTCTCCGAAATAATTTATGTTTTGTCGCAGTTCACAAAATCTTAGATTATTTCGGAACTGATTAAGTAGGTTAAAAATTTTTAAGATAACAATTGACAATTGACAATTTTATACACAAGAGATGTCAGATCGTTTCTCGTACAACGAAACTCCTCGCTGTTCCCTTAGGCGTTCTAGCGTGAATACGTGTGGTTTTTTTTTACGGGACCGCTAAAGCTGGTGCGAAAATTAATTACAGCGACGTAGCTTCCAGTGTTAACCTAGCGGAAAACGGATATACGAAACGCGTAAGTGCTGTGCACGCGTGAAGAATTCTTAAAGAAGAGGAAGAGAGACGCGGACTGAAGGGAGACAGGGCGAAAGGTGCGCGTCTTCTCTTCTGCCGTTTCTTTAACCATTCATTCAGACCCGCGGCCTATTCACGGTACGTTTATCTACCTGCGCATCATGGGATCCCCATTAAAGACGGGTTCCATTCACCTACGCGTGCAATGACGAACTTATCCCTCGGATCTTGGCAGGCAGTCAATGTCCACGGTTCTCTTTTGACCCTCGCTTCGAGACGGCGATGAGAGGAACATTTGATAATCCTTGACGCCAAAAGACAGGCGGAAATTTAATCGCCATTGACTTGGTTTTTCAGTGAGAGAGAAAGAGGAAGAGAGAGAGAGAGAAAGTTGCGCCTCACGATACCGTCAGATTCGCACTTCGATTACTAATAACGCGCGATTTCACGGCCAATAAATACTTGGGCAACATTATCGATATCTCCAATCTCTCATTGCCGCACATTCGCCTTACAGTTATTCTCTTCAGTTCAGATACGTAATTACGTCATATCTAATGTTCAAGTAGTCTTTTATGCTCTTCGACGCGCGCGTGTATTGTCTCCTTCATTTTTACCTTTCTAACATCCGCATTTTTCTTTCTACTTTTAAGTTAAATTTATCAAAAGTTAGAAGCTAACCAGTTTTTCTAATGAATTTACACACCTGTACTTTTATGAAAGATTTCCAAGAATGTTCAACTCCGTATTAAACAAAATAGTAGTAATAATCGCATCGTTATAATATTAAATTTATGATATTGGAAGAGACATATATTTTATTCGAACATATTCTGGCAGAGCATGTGAAACATTTCCTAAGATATTCACACTTTGCAATTCTACCTTTGTATTTTTACGCACGGAGAGAGTTTTCTCTTAAAATTTACCCTGAAAATCATGTAATCGTGGGACACCATAGCAGTTTGAAGAACTTTGTGAGAGTTTTTTGAAATTTTACCATACATTTTGCTACAGGACTAGGGAAAAGGGCAATGAAATATGAAGATAGGATTAGAAAAGAGAAAGAAGATAGGTGGATCAGTAAATGTCTGAAAGAGAAAGAAGAGGAAGGCAAGAAGTACCTATATATGGAGAAAAGAGAAAAATATTACAACAGGAATGGATGGGGAATAGGAGCTTTAGAAGATTTAAAAAGAGAACTGAATACTGGAAATTATAGGGAGAGATAGAGAGGTACAAAGGCAACGAGAGGAAAATAGGATAATAGAATCGAGATATAATAAAAGGTATAAAGAGTTAGGACAGGAACGGGAGTAGGCCCAAATACTTAGAGGATAGGAACGTGGGAGAGCATGATATAGGCGACAAGATTAGAGCATTAATGAATTTGAGATGCGGTAATCTGGAAAGGTGTAATAAATACTGGCTAGAAGGAAATTAATAAATTACATTACCATACATTTCACTAGTAATTATACTTAGTACACGTTTTATTAGTAAAATGTATGGTAAAATTTCAAGAAGTTCTCGTAAAATTCTCCAAAATGCCAAATCATCCCGCGATTACATGATTTTCAGGATAAATTTTGAGAGAGAATTCTCTCCGCGTACCAATAATAACGTCAAGCAGAATGAAAGACAGAGCTTGATGGTTTAATTTTTTGCGAGCTTACCAAATGCAACGGACGATATTTATTTTGTAAGTGAGTTATTATCATCCCCCTTATGTGCCAATGCCATGAATGTGCAATTTGATAAATTTTGAAGTCTTACGATGTAAAATGTAATCAGACAATTCTTCTTTCCTTTCTTCAGATAATTCTTTGCTATACTACACAGCCGTCGTTTTAGCAGTTAGGAACAAAGACGTTCCCACGAAAAGTGAAAAATGTGCACATTCATAACTTTGGCATCGACATAAACGTCTCTATTAGTTTCTACAATAGAAAAATTATTGAGAGTCTGTCGAGAAGACTGGGGTGCTCGGGCAAAATGTGACGTATCTCGACAATCGCGTATTGGCGACGATATTTGACGCGATATAAATTAGTCGATGGGCGATAATATCGGAGCGGCGCGCTTCTGCGGGACATAAGGCATGAAGCTTGTTTTCCGTGGTATGGGGTTGACGGGCGTCACCGGCAGCGCCGCGGCTAATTTCCTCGGCATTGAGCCGCATTGTGCTCTAAATCGGCCTTCCCGCCCCCTCGCCCCCCTCGCAAAACCCACCCGCTGCCGCAATCGCGCATCGGGAGCGTGAAACCCTCGGTGAAATTCGTCAGAGTCCATTGAGAGCCGGGGTCAGCTATTTTGTTTGCGCGATAGCCGTGTCTGTGAATGGCTTTAATAAAAATTAACTTGCACCGCCCGGCGTGCACTGATCTCCTTAACTCCTTCTCGCGCGCGAATTGTTTTCCTCGGCGAAAAAATGTACGAGCGTTCTTTTGTGAGGGGAAAAAAATGAAATCGACTCGAGATTAATGAGAAAAATTAGTCAACGCACCATGTATATGCAAGTGAATCTCAAATCAACACATACTTATATGCCGTAGAAAACGTTGCGACATTTAAGAAATGTTTGTAGGAAGGCAACTTTAATAAAGTTGCTGCAATGTTTTTTGTGGCTGTTGCATTCTAAAACTCTCTCGTTGCAGTTAACGGGTTACGAAAGTAAAAATAGAAGCTTGTACTTGATACAAGTGTTGCGTCCGATGTGCAGAGATCAATTAAAATTCGTTATGTCGTAAATTGACCTATTTCAAACGCCTAAAATATGTCAGGGGCTTCTCTTTTCCTTTTTTTTTGTTCCAATGAAAAAGCCAAACGTGAAGCTGAATTTTTATTTTTGACAACTGACAAAATGAATTCCCTTCTCTGCACCGACAAGACATCGCGTGGCGCGGTGCGGGTCGAGGATGCGTGACGAACGGAGGGGTGAGTGAGCAACTCAGGGCGTCGAGAGGGATCTGCCCTCTTGTGAAGACTCCACCCGGTAGACAGTCTCACTAATTACGCCGCGCCTCATTAGCGTGGAAGCACTGCTGTCACTTAAGGATACGTGCGACTACTTCTATTCTGCTCTGTCAAAGATGACATTTTTTTTGCTTAAGAGGGTCACAATGAGGGGCAGGAGGGTAGTGGCATTCGCTGTGATTTCGCTGTGACACGAAATGTGCATGGCAGCGTTTCGAAGGAGCAACTAGATTTTCACTTCAATTGCCAAACCCACTCGTTAAAAAAGTAGTTACTTTTACTAAGACGCTTCTGTGCAAATCTGCACGTAAATCAAAGAGGAATAATATAATTTTTGTACGCGTGACAACTTGACAAAATTGGAAACGCGACGCGGCTGGCTTTCGCATTAAAGAAAACGTGAAGTAGCCTTCATGGAAATTCATAAATCATGTGAAATTTATTTGAAATAAAATGTCCGTGTTGGAACAGTCATCGTTGCAAAGTAATTTGCTATTCTCTATTCCTTCTTTTACTCTCGATTATTTGAGATAATATTGGTGCGTAATAAGAGATATTGGGTGCTGTTCGAATCTAACGGGCTACTCCGATCGATCTTTAGCGGGGTTGCTTTGATTATCAATTCCTCGCCTGACCGAACTTCGCGTCCGGCAGAAAGGACCCCCATTTACCCCTCCATTCGATTCCCCTGACACGTCCAATTCTCGATAAGCATGAAATTCTATTAGAGAGTCCCGATATCGGCACACGATTTCGATTTGTGTGTCGTGGAGGGTCAGTTTCCAGCGGCTAATCGAAAATTAAGGTCTTTTAAAGTTTTGCCCTGTGACCACGAGTGGAACAAGGATTCCTTTTTGAACGTTCATCTGAAACAAATCCGGCAAAGACTTTTCAATTGGTGGGAAATTAGCTCGAAATTGATTTGAAATTTTCAGATCTGCGGAATAATTCGATCTATACTAATGAACATTTTGTATGACGTGCGAAAAGATTAATCTATTTCTTACATATTAAGTATTGAGAAATAATCTTACGCGATATCTTACTTCCGACAATTTAACAGCGAAACCATGGGAATCTTAAAGCTTTCGTCATTCAGAAATGGCGAACCTCGATTTTTCGTTACGAGAAAATCCACCCAATCCTGCGCAGACCCGTCGCGTCACGTGCAATTCCGCGTCACGTTGATTTCCGGTTTCGCTTACACAGCGCAGCGTCGTCTCGAATTACATCTCGTGACCTGACTCGTAGAAACGAATGTTCGATAATTGACTGTTTACCGTGGTTTACTTGAGACGAGAGGTTGCAGTTTCGGGGGGAATCGAGATCGCGCTTCGTTCTGAAGGTTTACATGAATGGGCCTTCCCTCCCGCTTCTTCGCGCGTAATACCACATAAAGGTAAATGGTCCGTATATCCGAGAGACTATGAAAGGACAACCCTGCTTCTAGATCAAGCGGTACACCTGTTCCGCACCCTAATTTCCTTCTCTTTATTCTCTCGCGACCCTCGCTTCTTCGTGATATCCCGAGATTTCACTATAGGATGAACATCAACGACACTACAATCACTGCAAGGACAAACCAGATGTGACAATCGCTTTCTTCTTTAATCTGCTTATTGTAATCCATTGTCTGTCTTTAACCTGTTATTACGTCAATGTGACCAGAGAAATCTCTGTATTTTTGAAACGACTACTGAACCATTGATGATTTGTCACTTTTAAATAAGAAATTTTGAAGAGATTTACCGCGCGCTAATGTAACATTTGTGTGTCAACTTTCTTTTCTCGAATTATCGAAAAAACCAGAGTCCTGTCTATATCTTGAAAGCTAGAAATAAAGTCCGATGCATTGGTATTTTACGATGTAGGAAATGTGTCGGACCAATTTTTTGAAAACTGTAAATCTTTGAATTCTTAACTATTTGCCTCGGGCACATAAGAGTTTTCGATCGCCCAATTTTTAGCAGATCTCTTATGGCCAGCAGCAGCGTTAGGTTTCGTTTAGAATCTCGAAAGTTTACATGTCGACGAGCGAGTTGGCAGAAAATTTGTTGTAAGAACATTGTCGCTGTCTTCCGACCCGCCTCTGTAGCATCCCCCTTTTCTTTCGGCCGTGTTCTTTCCTTTTTCGCTTTCATTCCAATTAACCTTGAAGCCACGAAGCGGCTAGGAACGACTCGCCACGGGATATATGAGGGAGAGCCACCGCATAAAGGGAGCAGTCGAATGAGATTAATTCAAAAATGTCGACGAGCTCTCGCGCCCCTCGGTACGCGCACTCGTTTCCACGATAAAAACTCTACACGGTACTAACCAAACGAGAGGACACTAGCTCGAAATCAAATAGAAAATTTAATTTCGAGCAATAAAAAAGTTCCGAACGTACGTCCGAAAATGCTTCTCCTTCCAAAGATCGTCGTTGAAACGCTTCTCTCGTCGAACTTTTCAAATTTCATGTTCTTTTTCGTCAAAAGATTTACACATATTATTAAACACCTGATCATCAATTTCCTGAGCTTCCCACGCGCGGTCCTTGTTAAAAGAATTACGACGGTTTTCTCTAGAAACGCGGCCCCGCGTAATATTCCATCCTCCATTCGCGTTCCTCTCCTTTTTCCTCGCGGGCGGAATCTCGGCTCCGTGAACGTTCTTTTTCATTTGCAGTTTGGTACAATTTTCTCGCGCTCGGTTGCCTCGAGAACCCGCTCCGTGATTCGGGCGCGTTTGAAATATCGGGGAACCGCAGTAGTGCTCGAAATCCGACGTTAGTATCCTCCTGGAAAGTAAAGAAAAGGTGAGTCGATCCCAGGAGGGTGCGGTTTTCCACCTCATTTCCGCGCGAAGTGAGGGAACAAGGATTCTGGATAAGAATTCGGGACTTCTTTCCCTTTTCTCCCGCCCCCTCTTCAGTTTTCACCACTCTCTCAATCTCCTCTATTGTGCCCTCCCGTAGCAAGCGGTGAGGATCATCCGGCGAATCGGATTTTTGTAGGCGCCGCCGCGGTGAGCGATTTTTTACGTACAGACCGTCGGAACAATACCGTTTCTCTCTCGGTGGCTTTAAAATCCATTTCCCACAATAGTAACTTACGTGGAGTGCGTCAAAAGTCGCGGTAAGAAAAGAATTAAGTTTTAATAGTTAAGCTTATTTGTGTTTGAAGACGTGTCGAAAGTAATCGCTGTTTCTAAGCGCCGTGAAAATTCTTCGTTTCGCCCTTTCTTCAACATATCTGATGACAACAATTCTCTAACGATATTATTTCCAATAAAAAAAGCGCCGATCTCCTTCACTAACGGAAGCGTGAAATGCCGTATAAATACACACTTGAAAAAAATTTGGGGTCTATGATACGTTCGAAATCTCGCAAATCGTATCGGATTTCTCCAAGTCCATGGCTGGGTGAAGACCTCTCCAGTTCGGTTCTCCGTTCGGACTTGGGTTGCTTCGACTTGTTGACCTATCGTCCCATTCCTGAAGGATCCAGTTTCGTATCTTCAAGAACTTGACTAACGATCGTGTGTGATGGGCCGCATTTTATTGGCCGAATGCGGAATCTTCGAAAGTGGATCCGTCTTCCTTCTACCGACATTTCCGACATTTCTACGGTGACTCGTCCTCGCCGAGACAAATGTCAGCATTCCCTCAAAAATTATCACGAAGAGAGAGAGAGAGAGAGAGAGAGAGAGAGAGAG